TCTATTATTATTTTAAAATAATAAATTATATTTTCTCAATTTATGACTTTCTTCCTTTTTTATCTACTTCTTTTAGCGATGTTAGTTATATTTATCTTCCTACTGAAAGTTCTTTCTCTTCCACGGATTCCTTACTCTCTCATTCACATGATTTTATTTCTATTTTATTTTTTATGCTTTTTATTACTTTTATTATCAGAATGATTATTTTCTGTATCATATTAATTTTTTTTTTTTTAAAATTTAACTAAACTATCTATAAAATTTTCCATTACCAAGAATGAAAAACCGTTAATGCAGTGGGCAGGTCAATGTGAGAGAAAAATAGGACATTTCCAGGAAGGTACAAATGCCAGACAATTGTGATTGAGTATGCACAATCATCGAGAAATGTCATCATCAAGGTAAATTTAGCTGGCATCCATTTGAAATTTATTTATTTCTTTGAATATAAAATGAACATGTTTTTTTAACTGACTTTCAGACTTAATACTTGTCTTTAAATTTTAATATTTAATTAAATTAATTAAAATTTTGATTCTCGATAATTATTTAAAAATATTACCTTTTGCCAACGAGCGTTCATATTAAAAAAAAAAGAATATGTTTTTCATATTACACTTTAAAAGCAAACATAATTGACGAAATTACGGAATTTACTATAGGTCTAGAAGAGGATGTTAAAGAAATTAGACATTAAAAAACAAATTAAGTGCAAAAAATTAGAAAGTAGTATATAATAAATCTGCTTAATTGCAGTTATAAACTTACTCTTCCTTATAAGAAAGGTTCATTGATATTTTTCAAAAGAAAAATATAATTTAAATATGATCACCAGTTAAAAATAAACATTAATATATTAATTTATTTAAAGTGACCAATGATTATTAGAAAAAAGTAAACCAACACCTCAAATAAAGTATCAATTATAAAAAAAATCTGCAAAGAGCGAAGTAAACATAAACTAAATCTAATAATATGGTCATGAATATTTAATAAGAAATACTGAGATACATATAAACAGAATCTTGATGATATGGATACATAGTAGTTTACTTACATGAAGCAGAAGAAATAGGTAAAGTTGGACAGTGATAACCAATTTGGGTAGAGCAAAGCAAATTATTAGAAGTGGCAGCAGGTTCAATTTCTGATGCGAGGAGCTGATGAGCCAACTAAGGAGAGGAAGCAACTTAAATAGGCAGTAGCTAGGCAATTGCAGGATGTATTTCCTAGAAGATGCTTAGGAACTGCAGGAGAAATCAACAAGAGCAGTACCAGAGGCACTCGCCTCCTCCACTCTCCAGCCAACACATGCTTTTTAATTGGGCCACGTAAGCTTGCTTCAGTTATGAAATGATTACCTCTCCCAACGAACATAGCGTGGCCCAATGAAAATGGAAGTGTTGGTTGGAGAGTGCAAATGGCGAGTGTTCCTTGCATTGCTCAATCAACCATAGAAGCTTATTGTTTCAAAAAGAAAGATTTGAAGGATAGAAGTGTAAAATACGTTAAAGCAAGCTTTATCTCACACGTTGCGCATATAAATATTATATATTATATATTTTATATTATAAT